TCTAACCCAATTAAAATCAGATTAAAATATTTTGTATAATAAAAGTTATGGCCGAAATAGTGAGACGGTATCAGTTTTGGATTGAGTTTGGTATTTCAATCATATCTTTTTCGTTATAGTTTGGAATTAATATTATAATATATCATTTGAAATATAATTTCAAGGGCTATCCAACCATATAAGATTTGGATAAAAAATATGAGGCGCGAAAAGAATATTTGATTATCTTTGAACGTCTTTCAATTCGGATAGAAGTAGGATTTTCATAAAGAAAAATTTTATTCAATTTCAAACTTTTTAATCTTATCTTTTCATAAAGGAAAAATTAAGATTTTTTATAAACTTATAGAAGCTTCCAATTAGGGTATGTTCTCTTCCGTTGAAATTCAGTTCAGTTCAGTTTAGCTCAGTTCAGTTCAGCTTAGTTCAGTTCAGTTCAGTTCATTTCAGTTCAATTCAGCTCTTAATTTATGTCTAATGATATTGCTTATGATATAAATCCAAACTTCATTCTTTTAAGATCTTATTACAACGACAACAACAACAACAACAACAACAACAACAACAACAACAACAACAACAACAACAACAACAACAATAATAATAATAATAATAACAATAATAATAATAATCAATAATAATAATAATAATAATCAATAAGTAATAAATAATAATAATAATCATCAATAAATAATAATAATAATAATAATAATAATAATAACAATAATAATTGAAATAATAATACTAATAATAATAATAATAATAATAATAATCATCATCATCAATAAATAATAATAATAATAACAACAATAATAATAATAATAATAATAATAATAATAATAATAATCAATAAATAATAATAATAATAATCAATATGTGTTTAAAATGTTTAGAGGTTTCAAGTTTTTAATATATTTTCCATAAATTTTATAATTATATAGTATATTTTTCGTAAATATTTTAATATGTACATTTGTATATACACATATGTATAGTAATAAATAATCAATAAATAATCAAAGATCACTGATCCGTATTTAAAAATCACTAATTAATAAGTTCAGTTCAGTTCGGTTCAGCTAAGTTCAGCTCAATTCAGCTCAGTTCAGTTCAGCTGAGTTCAGTCAATCGGAACAGACCCTTAATCCTAATTGCTTTAGGAATGGGATTAAATCCTTTGGACCCACCACATGATCATTGGGTCGTAGGTAAGGTGGGCTTAGGTTTGGGCTCATTTAGTATTATTTTGGCCACAACTTATTCGTTATAACTCGGATTTGGGCTTATAATATATCGTTGGAAAGCTCTGGGCAAATTATAAGATGCCATATAGTTATATGTGAACCACCAATTAAAATATTATCTCTATTCTCTTTCCTCCTCTACTTTCCTAATTTCTGATTTTTCTCTCTTTTTTTTTCTCTCTCCTTCATTTTCCCTCTCCTCTATTTTTCTCTCTATTTTATTTTTCTTTCTCTTGAATCCGTTCATCATCCTTTTAATTGAATTCTTTCCTATTGTTAATCACTATAGAGTGAATTTCTTCATTACAATAGATTAAATTCAAATTTTGTTTTCTTCAACCTTCGATTTGAAGCTTTGTTAATGGAGTTTTACAATGAAGTAGTGAAGCTAAAAATGGCGTCGTCGTCAAATTGAAGGTGGTTAAGATGATGGTGAGATTATTTTTCATGAGATTTCATTACCTAAATCACCATGGCTAGGTTTGAGTTTCGAAATATGTAGCTTTTATATTCTTCTGACTTTTTTTAGTGATAATTGTACATTTTGTTATGAAGAGTTCTGAATTTGATTATATTTTAGTATTTTGAACATTTTAAGTTAAAAATGTGAACGTATGATACGTTTTCTGTAAACACATAACATGTATTTTTGGAATTTCGAACATCTTTATTATAATTCTGAACATGCGATAAATTACTTATGAACTTATTTTTGTTTTAAATCTATGTATTTTTAATTTTATTAAAAAATTTGGCATTCTCTACTTTATAATTTATAAATCTGAACATTTGGCATTCTGAGCAGTGTTTTCAAGTGTAGAAGTTTTTGAAAGGGTTTTCAGTGCTTTGTGGTTGGGGTTCAGAAGTTTTTGTAAGGGGTTCAGAGGTTCATCTAGGGTGTTCAGTGGTTTTTGGTTAGGGTTCATAAGTTTAGGTTTTTGTAGGGTGTTAAGTGGTTTATGATTGAAATTTAAAGGTTTTTGTAAGGGTTCAGAAGTTTTTAAAGGGTGTTCAGTGGTTTGTGGTTGGTGTTCAGAAGTTTTGTAGGGGGTTTAGATATTTTTGTACGGTGTTCAGTGGTTTGTGGTTGGGGTTCAGAAGTTTTTGGGGGTTCAGAGGTTTTTGAAGGGTGTTCAGTGGTTTATGATTGGAGTTCAAAGGTTTTGTAAGGGTTCAGATCAAAAGTTTTTGAAGGTGTTCAGTGGTTTGTGGTTGGTGTTCAGAAGTTTTATAGGGAATTCAGAGATTTTTGTAGGGTGTTCAGTGGTTTGAGGTTGGGGTTCAGAAATTTTTGGGGGTTCAAAGGTTTTTGAAGGGTGTTCAATGGTTTGTGATTGGGGTTCAGATGTTTTTATAGGGGGTTCAGAGGTTTTTGAAGGGTGTTCAGTGTTTTATGGTTGGGGTTCAAAAGTTTTTTTAGAGGGTTCAGAGGTTTTTGTAGGGTGTTCAGTGGTTTGTGGTTGTGGTTCAGAAGTTTTTGAGGGGGTTGAGAGGTTTTTGTAGGGTGTTCAGTAGTTTATGGTTTGGGTTCAGAGGTTTTTGTAGGGGTTCAGAAGTTTTTAAAGGGTGTTCAGTGGTTTGGGGTTGGGGTTCAAAAGTTTTGTAGGGGGTTCAGAGGTTTTCGTAAGGTGTTCAGTGGTTTGTAATTGGGGTTCAGAAGTTTTTAACAATTGGTTTTTTCTTAGATACATCATCGAATTTCTTCTTTTTTTTGGTGTTCTGATGTTGAACATTTGACTAATTGTACAATTTAAACAAATTGCGAACTTAAATAATAAATTACTTAACATCTTTATCCTCTTCGGTAGGAGCAGATAATTTTGATTTTTAACCAAAAAAAATTTAAAAAAATTTATTTAAGTCAAAAAGATAATTATATAGTAGAATATAGTTTCAATTTACAATTTATTGAATTATATTAGCAAATTTATTTAACATAAATGTAGGAAAATAAAAAAAGTTAAGTATTGTTTATTTTTTTGAAGGTGTTTTCGTGTGTTTTTTGTCTTTTGTCATGGTACATTGCAGTTTTTAGAGAGGATAAAATGGTGAGAGGAGAGAGAAAATACAAAAGAATTCATTGAGGAAGGTTTTTAATTTATGAGAGGAGAGAGAAATTTTTTAAAATGAAACAAAAATAGATATGACATTTTTTTTAACTTAAATAAATTTGACAGTGGGAGAAAAAGGAACTATTATTAAAAAAAACAAACAAACAACCACTTCGTGGGCTTCTTTCGTTTGGGCTTCTTGTGTTAGATGTGGATTGGGCCAGGTGCACCTATTTCTAAGTGCACCATGGTGCACATAATATTAATTGTTGTCAAACCCCATCCAACTATTCAATCATTGGACCCAGATTATGAACCAAATAATATGGACTAAACGTTTTTATAAAAAGGACACGAAATGAATGATTCTAAAAGACACGAAATGAATAATTTTGGGTTTAAAGGCACGAAAAGAGGAAAATAAGTTATGTTTTGGAGAATTGGGTTAGGAATTGAGTTGGTTTGTGAAATGTATTGGGATTTGAATATGGATTTAACTGATTTAAGCACTCCAAGATTAAATACTCTACCCAACCAATAATGGCGGCAAAAGGTTGTTCATTATCAGGTTTGGTTTTGGGGAGACATTTTTAGGTGTCTACATCGAGTAACCCCTAACCGAAAAACTCGAGTAATCCCCGACCGAAAAACTCGAGTAACCACGAAAACTCGAGTAATTCCTGATTGAGAAACTCAAATAACCCTTCAGACAAGTAGACTTAATCACTCAATGTCTTATGTATCTTGGTTAACGACCCTCAATTTTTGTAGAATCCACAAAACTCTGACACGAAGAAGTGTGAATAATAACACCCATGCGTCTTCCATTACTAACGTTAAGATTAAGAATATGAGAATATCAGTATATCACGTGACAAGTGCGACCCACCCTCCACGAATATGGATGAGGGTGTACAGTTCTTCTATGCAACGGATACAATGACACGAATTTTATAAATTAGCTCCACGTAAATTTGTACACTGATTAACTCCTCAAACCACCTACGGAATTTTCCTTTTAGCAGTTGTATAATTATATTGTATTTTCCCAACTCTAAGGCGGCTTATAGTGCCAAAGATTCTTTTACTACCTTCGTTTTATATTATTTACAACGAATTTAATATAAAATAGAGAGAAAAAGTGTCTAATCATTGTAAATAATATGAAACGGAGGCACGGAGTAGTATTTTTATTTGACTAAACTCGACAAAACTGACCTATACATAATTGACTAAATTGTACGAGTAATTCAATATTTCAAACAAAAATTAGTTTATCTGAAATTACATTACATGAGCTAGATCTGAACCGAATGCGTCTATTCCATTATCATGGAAGTCTTCCTTAGAAAATGTTAACCCTTGATCAATTGATAATGATAGGAAAATTAAAGTCCAAAAGATGAACAAAGATGCACCCTTCACAAAATCACAATGATAGCGTCTAGAATAAAACTATGGGAAAGACAATGACATGCATACATTTAGAGATTATAGATAATTGTACAGTCCAACGAACCTTATCTTCATGGACCACCCCTAAAATCAATTTCTCCGTATTTGCCCACAATAATAATTACTACTTTCTTTGCCACTTTCAAGTTTATATTAGTTGAACTCTTCATTTTATTTTAAATACAGTCTATATATACTACATCATGTACTTATCTATTAATAATTTTTTTTTTTTTGACAAGGCATACCAATAATATCAGGTAACCTGAAAATATCATATAAGTCTAAAGTCATGAATTAAATCATACACTTGAACACATACTCGTATCAGATTGGATATCATAACTTACAATAAACCAATAAACCAGGCCATCACATATTCATATTACCAGTTTACCACTAAACTCAATACCGCTGGCTAATAAGATTTTCCTTATAAATACAACCATGCTTCACTCAAACTAGAACACATCTATTTCACTTCTTTTCTTTCCAAACCAAAAATAAACCAAGTTACAAAAATCTTGTTAATCAACAACAACAATCATGTTGGCTATATTTCACAAGGCATTCTCTCATCCACCTGAAGAACTAAATAGTCCAGCTTCACATAGAGGTCCAAAAAAACCCAAATTACCAGAAGCAACCCTTTCTGATTTCATCTCTACTCATGATCCTCAAAACACCTTCTCCATGAGCTTTGGTCAAGCTGCTGTTCTTGCCTACGTTCGTCCTTACCCCGCTCATCCGCTTCATCAACTGTAAGTATTCGTCGTTGTTCTAGAAAATCCAAATTTATCTCCTTGATCGATCATTTGATATGAATCATATGACCTTGTATGATATATGCATATCACTCTTATAAACTTTATCCTAAACTACCCTTGATGAAGAAACTGTATGTACGAGTGATATTCATATCCTTGGTCGATAATTTGATATGGTCTTGTATCCTATGCATATCACTCGTACAAACTTTTTATCTGATATTCCCAAAATACCCTTGTTGAGTCCCTTAGGTTTTGATTGATAGTTTTGAATGATGACAAACAGCTAAGGGAAACAGGTCCTTGAAAGTGTTCGATACAGTTGGGGGAACCAGCTAACATAGAACACTGTTTCCCCAGACAAGTTATTACTTACATGAGTTTTCTTATTGAACTAACTTGTCTTTATACAGGGAACAGTTATATGATAAAAGTGTTATGTACTGGTAGGGAACCAGTATGTACTGTTTCCATGGTTGCTACGTGGTAAAGCAGTCACATACTCTTTATTGTGCATTAACCATGTTACATGTGCAGTAGTTGAGTTGATTCCAAGACTTGGAGCATAGAAGCCTTTCGAAGATATTTCGAAGAAAGATTGTTTGCTCATAATAGAAGTATTCAAGGAAGATTCAAGTCTTGAAGATTACATGAAGAAAAGACGATTTATGCTTTAATATGTTATCTAGGTTTTCATGTAATATGCTCCGTAGTATGCTTGCATGTTTGGGTTATATAAGTGCTTAAAAGTATATTGAAGTATGATATGAAATCTGGTACAAAGTTGGAACAGGTTTCATAACATGTTTCAATTCAGGGAACCAGGTCGGGGAACCAGGTTCACTGTATTCGAGCTGCCGTTTTGGAAAAAGATTTTACAAAAAGATTTTTTCGAAAAGATTATTTTGAAAATATTTTGTGCAGCTGGAAATAAGATGAAATATTCTTGGTTACCTAAAAACTAGGAGTATTTATCTTAATTGATTCTATCTTTGTGATTAAATCAAATAAGATAAAAACTTTCCTAAAATTACAATATATCTTATTCTCTAAGATTGTGTGATTTAAGGAAACTAGGTTTTAGGAATCTAAGCTTATATAAACTCATCTTATTTCACATATTTCGTGTGCCTCTCTAGAAATTAAAAGGAGCAATTATTTGAGAGCATATACTTAAGCACTAATCCCATTCATCAAGTCATATACAAGAGCATTCTAGTACTTAAACTTTTTCTCTTAATTAGCTTCGTAGAAGTGAGATCAAAGGGGAGTTCTTGATTCTTGTATTGAGTCTTTAACAAAGGGGTTAAAGGCTGGGTGAGTGTTTGTGAGTTCAAACACATTGGGCTTACGAGTGTAAGTCGAGAGCACACTCGGAGTAGAGTGTGGGGTTTGCTGGTTCCCGGAGTAGGGAACAGCAGAGTGTTCTTTGTCTTTGTTTTTCGGAGTAGATTAATAAAGAACTTAGGATAGGAGGACGTAGGCCTGAGTTGGCTGAACCTCGTTAAATTTGTTGTGTTCTTTATTGCTTTATTTTATTTCGTTAAATTTGTTGTCTTCTTTATTGCTTATTTATATTCCGCTGCGTACGGGAACCAGCACAACTGGTTCCTCACACATAATCCGAAAAGAAGCAAAATTAGCCAACGATTACTTAACACTCAATTCACCCCCCCCCCTCTTGAGTGCCCATTGAACCTTCAATTGGTATCAGAGCCTAAGCTTCTCGAAAGAGTAACATCTAGAGGAGTTAAGAATGAGTACTCAAGAATTAAGTGCAATCGGTTATGACAACAAGTCACCCAAGTTTAATGGAAATAATTATGCTTGGTGGAAGAACAGGATCCAGAATGTTATCATGGGTATTGATTATGAATGCTGGCTCGTAGTTAAAAATGGTCCTAATATCATTCTCAAGACAGATGTTGAGGGGAACCAGGTTCCCAAGAAGGATAGCGAATTGGTCACTGCTGATTACAAGTTGCTGGAGAAGAATGCTAAGGCAATGTCAATACTACAACAAGCAATAGGTGAGACCGAAACAAATCGTATCTCTGGCTGTAGTAGTGCTAAGGAGATATGGGACACCCTTGAACTTGCGTTTGAGGGAACCAGCGAGGTAAAACGGTCTAAAATTGATTTAATCATGTCTAAATATGAATTGTTTGCCATGAATAAAAATGAAAAAATCAATGATTGCTTTCGTAGGTTTATGACTATTGTAAATGATCTTAGATCTCTTGGTAAAAATTTATCTGACGAGGATCTTGTGAGAAAATTATTGCGTAGTTTAACAGATGCATGGACAGCCAAGGTAACAGCAGTATATGAAGCAAAGGATCTGTCTACCTTGTCTCTGGAACAGCTGATTGGTTCCCTTATGACTCATGAGATGCTGATTGACTCTAAGTCTGAGAAGGAACCAGCAAGAGGCATGGCGCTTAAGGGAACAGTAGAAGATGATGAAGATGAAATTAGCATGATTGCAAAAAGATTTGAGAGATCTCTTCGAGATCAAAGAAAGAATTTCAAAGGTAAGCATTTTAAAAACTATAAAAAATCTAACTCTAATTCTTCTTCTACAGGATGTTTCAAGTGTGGAGAAAAAGGACATCTTATTCGAGATTGTCCTAAGTGGAATGACAAACAGTCTAAATCCGGAGATAAACAAGCATACAAGAATGCCATGATAGCTTCCATGTGGGGAGACTCTGACTCAGGGTCAGATGAAGAAGAAGGATCATCCAACTCAGATGTTTGCCTAACTGCCTTTACAAACATCAAGGAAAACAGCACTGGTCCAGGAACCAGAGGGGGAACCAGTACATTCAACAAATGCTTTATGGCAAAGAAGGATGTACTACATGAACGCAAGGTAAGCTTAGAGCAAATTAGAGAAGATATGCATGAATATGATAGAGAAAATATGCTTGCTTGTATTGATTCCTTACTAGATGAATGCTATAAACTAAGTGAAACATACATAACTTGCAAAAGAGAATTAAAAGAAAAACGTGGTGAATGTAATATTGCTATTGCTAGTTGTGATCATCTAGAAGGAGTCTGTTATGAACTAAAAAATCAAGTAGCAGAACTAGAGGTTGAATTGGACAAGTGTAAAGTGGAACTAGAAAAGGAAAGATCGTTTGAACCAATTGATGGTGAAGAGGATCTGACCTCCTGGTTCCCTAGAGACTTATCAACCACTAGTGATACTCTTGATTTTTCAGTAGCTATAAGTAAAGCAAATTCGTGTACTAGAACTTCCTTGTTGAAGGCCTTTGAAACATTGGCTTACAACCTGGAAAACTCTCACAAGGAAATTGCTTCACTTAAAGCTGCACAGTTCACTGTTTCCCCTACAGGTACCAGTGTAGATGTCAGTAATACGATTGATAAGTATGAAAGTAATATTTGTGATTTGCATGCGGAAATCAATCAACTGAAAAAGGACAAGCAACCAGTGATTGTTGACATGTCTATTGACTCTATGGTTTCAAAACTTAATCTACAATTCGAAGCTTTAAAAAGTAACTTTGATTTTCTTAAAGAGAAAAACGAATTGTTAACTAAAACACTTGAAACCAGAGAAAAAGAACTTAATGATAGTCATAGACATGTGGACAAATTATTGAATGCTCAAGAATCCTTAAATTACCTGACTTCATCAAGAGGAAACAGAGGAAAAGTTGGTCTTGGTTATACTAGACAGAGAACCAGGACTAACTGGTCTCCCAGAGAAACCACCTGGATCAAAGAATATCAACGAGGCAAGTATGTCATGACTAAAGAAATGCATGTGTGTTTTCATTGTGGTAAAAATGGACATAAGATACATGAATGTCCAGCTAAGAAAATTAGTGCTAATAAGAACAGCAAGGGTGTAAAATATGTGTGGAGAAGAAAGGATCAACAAGATGTTAATGTTGTTGAAAAGGGACCCAAGTATGTTTGGGTTCCTAAAACTAATGTTTGATTTGCTCTTGCAGGCTAGAGTGAAGGGAGACACCTATTGGTATTTGGACAGTGGTTGCTCAAGACACATGTCCGGGGATAAAGATCAATTCCTTTCACTAGTGGCCTTTGATGGAGGAAGTGTCACCTTTGGGGATAACAACAAGGGAACCATCACTGGTTTAGGTAAGGTTGGTAAGACACTTTCTAACGCAATAGATGATGTTTATTATGTTGAAGGCTTGCAACATAATCTCTTGAGTATTTCTCAATTATGTGACAAAGGTAATATAGTTGAGTTTCAAGCCAACCTATGTCACATAGTTAACTCACAAACAGGAGAACTTGTATGTGAGGGAACCAGGAAGCATGATGTTTACATTACCTTCTTAGATAAAATCCCTCAAGACAAGTCCATCTGTTTGAGAGCTGTTTCTGACAATAATCAATGGATTTGGCATAAGAGGTTTGGACATGCTAGCCTAACACTTCTAAACAAACTTAAAACACGTGACTTAGTTGTAGGCCTTCCTAACATTAAGTATGAAGCTGATAAAGTTTGTTCTGAATGTGTAAGGGGGAAACAGGTCAAAAATTCTTTTAAGTCTAAAACTGTTTTGAGTACCAGCAGACCCTTCGAACTTGTACACATTGATTTGTGTGGTCCCATGAGAGTACAAAGTCGAAGAGGTCATAGATATGTCTGTGTTATGGTTGATGATTATTCCAGGTACACTTGGGTAATGATGTTACACACAAAGGATGAAACGTTTGAAGAATGGGTAACATTGGTGAAACAAGTGGAGAACCAGCTCACCCACAAGCTGGTCTCGGTAAGATCAGACCATGGTACTGAATTTGAAAATGCTAACTTTATTGATTATTGTAGGGAACATGGAGTTAATCACAACTTCTCAGCCCCTAGAACACCTCAACAGAATGGTGTTGTAGAAAGGAAGAATAGAACTCTTGAGGAGATGGCGAGGACGATGCTCATTGAGAGTGGTCTCCCAAAGAGTTTTTGGGGAGAAGCTGTTGAC